GCGCAAGAGTGCACCGTGCGCAAGAGTGCACCGTGCGCAAGAGTGCATCGTGCGCAAGTGGCTTTGGTTTTTTTCCTTCAATTTATTTGTGTCCTCCTGCTCATTGTAAAAAAGTTGGTCACCTTACATATTAGCAACAGATGCTTCCACACTGCCACCTTCTTGAGCCTGGGGAGATGGGAGGGGGGACTTTTTTGGAGAGCATGTGGTTAGACATAATAGCATTCTTCTGCTAAGTCAAGGTCATGTTATTTCTGCACCTGGGTGAGGGGACATCTCAAGTTGGGACAGATGGTGATTGGGGCGTGTGATGCCATGAAGGGTGCAGGGGGTGGATTTGTAATATTTTACTTATTGAGGGGAAACCCGGAGCTTTCAGATTCGGGGTTTCCCAGATGTGCCAGTTTACTACTCTAATAAAAGGAACCTTTGAGAAGATGTCTGTCTCGGAGTTATTGGTTGGACTTGGGGTTTTCTGGAACGCTGACACAAAGTCAATGGGGAAGCCGGCTTCACTTCCCAACCACGTTACTAACTGAACAACTGCAGGGATTGCCTTGACAAGTGTGGCCAACGAGGTTGTAAAATGGGGCGTAGCTGGCTTAACAAGTGTCTTGCTTAGCAAGAGAAATTTTGGGCTCCGTTTTTGGTCGTAAGTCAAGGACGACTTGTATCATCTTTGAGCAAACTTCTCTTCTGTTTTCTGGCACTCAGAGGCAAAAATTAGAAAGAAAGAAAAAGAACAGTTTCCTTTCCTGGTTAGTTACCATGAATTAACATACATTCCAACAAATGTAGATATTTGCTGAGAAACCCAGCATTCCAGCTAAAGAGATGCATTCAGCTCCTTGCTCTAAAAAAAAAGAAGGAGGCTTATTAAAGTCCTACACTTAGGCAAGAAAAACCAAAAGGACACACATAGACTGGGTGAAAGCAACCTCAATACCAGGAACTGGGAGAGGGATCTTGGAGTCTTATTGGACAACCAGCTAAATAGGAGCCAGCTGTGTGCAGCAGCAGCCAAAAAAGCCAACGCAATCGTAAGTTGCATTAACAGAGGGATACAATCGAGATCAAGTGAGGTACCAATACCACTCTATAAAGCGTTAGTAAAGCCACACTTAGAGTACTGCAGCCAGTTTTGGTCACCACAGTATAAAAAAGATGTTGAGACTCTAGAAAAGGTGCAGAAAAGAGCAACCAGGATGATTAGGGGACTGGAGGCTAAAACATATGAAGAACAGTTGCAGGAACTGGGCCTGTCTAGTCTAGGGAAGAGAAGGACCAGGGGAGACAGGATAGCAGTCTTCCAATATTTGAGGGGCTGCCACAGAGAGGAGGGGGTCAAGCTATTTTCTAAAGCACCTGTAGGCCAGACAAGGAATAATGGATGGAAACTGAACAAGGACAGATTTAACCTAGAAATAAGGAGAAACTTTCTGACAGTGAGAACAATCAACCCATGGAACAGAAGTTGCCCTCGGAAGTTGTGGGAGCTTCGTCACTTGAGACTTTTAAGAAGAGATTGGACTGCCATCTGTCAGAAATCGTGTAGAGCCTCCTACAAGATCCCTTCCAACTCTGATTATCTGTTTTCTGCTACCTTTGGTAATTTTCCAGGGGTAGTGATTACTTTATGGACTCATTTTTCAATAGGAATTTGTCCTTCCGTTGCTTTATTTCTAGGAAATATTTAGCACAAGGAAGGGCGAGGAGAACAGTTTCTTAAAAGGGCCCAAATTTAAACTGCAACTATTTCCTCTATTCCCTGATTTCATTGCATCTTATTTCCTGCTGGTTATTTCAGGCCCCAAAGGGGAAGGAAAAGAGGCTCCATTTATTTCTCAGACCGCTTTAAAAAAAAAATACCTGTCAAATTTCATTCCTTAGGTATTGAATAGCTAAATAAACATATAACCAGCCTGAAACTTTCCTGCCTTTTTAATGGCTTTTGAAATAGCCTGTGATGCTAAAAGTATCCGCTGTAGCTATTTTATCAGGATAGCAATCAGGTGCAATGAAAGATTAAGCACTTTTAAGAGGTTTTTTTTTTTCTGTAACAGAAATGTTTGCCTTGAGTTTTATTAGCATACTTTCATGCAGAGGCTGTGCCCATAAATCTTATCAGAACAGAACAAGCTGGCAAAGGAAAATTTGGCGAGAAAATACACAGGCAGTTTCAGTTCCCTCATTTGGGTTCTCAGGAATTCTCATCTGGGTACGTGAAACAGTTCTTGGAGTCTCACAGGATCGTGAACTGGGACAACGGGTGATCAGTAGGTTCTGGGTAAATGTGTAATGGGGAACCACCATTGGTTTAGGGGTAATGCTAATGTGTCAACTCACCCACCCTGTTTTGCTACACCAGAATGTGGGCTTAAGAGAGCTACGTGAACCCAGCAACGGAAGGGAGGAGGAAGTTTAAGAGGAGCGAAGAGCAGAAGGTCAACCTTTTTAGTTGAGACTCGTGTTGAACGTTCATCCTTCTTCCACCAGCCCTGGCGGGGGAAGAACGTTCCTGGGGTGTTCCTTGCATTGGCACCGAAAGAATGCTCCAAGAGAATCCACCGCAGGTCTAACAAGGACTGCGCAAATGTCATTAGAACGATAAAAACTACTTTTTGTGGGACGTTGGGGGCGAAAACAAGGAAAGTCACTCTAAAAGTAACCAGCTAATTAAGGTAGGTGGAACAGACGAACAGTAACACTTATGTGCCGCTCTCAAACCTTGTGGCCAGTTACAAACTCACACGCAGGTCTGAGTGCCCCCCTCTTCTCCCTTTTTTCAAGACCCACATTTCCCTCTCTCTCCCTGGAGTCCCAAAGATACTTCTTCAGAAGGCAACTGGACTTTCTTGGGTCCCCCCCCCACCTCTTTTCCATTCCCCACTATCCTGTCCGACCTGAAAGAAGCTTCTTGGATGAGAAAAAAGAAAAAGAAAAAATAAGGAAGTCCAGTTGCCTCCTGAAAAAGCACCTTTGGGACAACCTGGAGGAGGGAGAATTTCTGCAGTCTCTTCCTGGAGATTAACGAAAGGGATCCCCAAGACAAGCCAGATGGTCAGTCCCAACCCAACATTCCCTCCATAGCAAACCTCCTGACCTGGTCTCCTTGCTCCTTGCTGCCCAGGGACTGGTATTTCCGACCCAGATGGAGGAAGGAGGACCCATCCTGGAAGAACTTGGCAAAGCAGTGCTTGGCTCCCATCTTTGTGGGCAGGATGGGGGCAGGCACGCAGCTCAAGACAAAGCGGCCGCAGCTGCAGCGTCTGCTGCAAATTCCCTTATTTTATTTTATTTTTTCCCCTGGCTGAAAGGCTCACATACCCTCCTAAGCTCAGGAGGTGCATGGAAAGGTGATACGGGAGTGTTACCTGATACCGACAGACGGCAAATGCCCCGCCTGCCACTTGCAACAAGTGTCTGGGAGGGGCCAGATTCTTGCTCACAGCAGCTGAGCTGACCTACCTGGACAGGTCTGGTCTGCGGAGGCTGACCCTTCCTCCAAGTCCTGGGAAACTCGGCTGTTATACGTTTACAAGAGGATTGAAGTCCTATCTGTTGCCCCAGGTCACAATTTGGGCTGGATTCCTACTCTTGCATCACCCTAATTCTAAGCCAGTTTCTGCAACTGTCAGCTGCACTGTAGGAGTTGCAAGCACAGAACTTCTGGTTGGTGTATTTCTGTCTGTGTGTGTGTGTGTGTGTGTGTGTCTGTGTCTGTGTGTGTCTGTGTGTGTATAAAGAGGTCTCATGTCGAGTAAGCCCAATGTAGGTTATTTTATGACCTGGGATCGGATCAATCCAGAAATGAGAAAAATCAGCATCCATATTAAGTGGGTGATTCAATCTTTATGAGTTTTGTGAAGTTGCTCTTATACTTCTCGTTTACTGCTTTATGGCATTAAAAAAAAAGAGAAATCTGGTAGTCCCAAAGGTGCTTTTTCAGGAGGCAACTGGACTTCCTTCTTTTTTTCTTTTGAAGATATTTTGCTTCTCATCCACATCCTGCCAGAGCTGAAGAAGCTTCTTGGGTGAGAAGCGAAACGTCTTCAAAAGAAAAAAAACAGAAAGTCCAGTTGCCGCCTGAAAGCGTAGTACACAAAATTATCTGCTACAATGTCCTACCAGTCAGTGACTACTTCAGCTTCAACCGCAACAAATACAAGAGCACACAACAGATACAAACTCAATGTAAACCGCTCCAAACTTAATTGCAGAAAGTAAGACTTCAACCAGAGTGGTCAGTGCCTGGAATGCACTACCTGACTCTGTTGTTACATCCTCAAACCCCCACTCCTTTACCCTTAAACTATCCACTATTGACCTCACCCCATTCCTAAGAGGTCTGTAAGGGGCGTGCATAAGTGCACCATTGTGCCTCCCTCTGTCCCTGTCCTATTATCCCCATTTATTTGTACCTATTTCCTGTATTCTTACTCATGCTTATACTTATACCTATTATCTTGTAAGCGATTGACAAATCAAATCAAATAAAAATAAATGTTCTGGAGGACTGAGAATCTCTACAGAGAAGTCTGGTAGCACTTTCTAAAAAATTAACAAACATCACGGACAGTAGAAGCTTTCATGAGCTGTGGAAAGGACCCTGCCACACTTGTGATGTTTTTGCTATTCTAAGCTGACCTGATTCCTCCATAAGAACCTGCCTGAGGTGTCCACTCTTGGCTTCAAGATGATGGTATCCATCTTTCTAAGACTGTTTATAACTCTCAGTGATCATCTGTAGCACACCCAGAAGAAGTTTTTGGACTAAACAAACCCCAAAAGGAAGTCCGTAAAGCAAGGCATTGCTTTTTATAGGTGGAGATGACAATGCATCTAATTGCCCAATGTCTTTGGAAGCCTTCCCAAAATGAAGCAAAAAACTTCTCCTGACCTTGGAGTTTGGTGAGTTGGGCAGGAGCTTCCCCTCTCAATTTTCTATCATTTACCCCAAAAGAAGAGGACCCCAAGTTTATAATGAAACTGTGGGAGTCACATGTGGAAGTAAACTGGCCTCTACCCATTTGTAAAAACAGCTGGGTTCAACTCTGGTAAAATTGCATGCATTTTAGAATGGCGATCTATGTCTCTGTCCCTTTGAAAGGGCTGATGCTGTTGACATCTGCTGACATTTCAGTTGCAAATTATTATGATTTTTTTTTTTACAAATATTAAATAAATGTTCATAATGTTTCCAACAATGTTGGCTGGGGAATTCTGGGAGTTGACATTCACATGAGTTAAAGTGGCCATGTTTGAGAGGTACTGCTGTACAAAAAGACCTTCCCAAAAAATCCAGTCTACACTGACCTACCTTTTCAGAAGAAGTTCAATGACTCTGCCTTCCCTTGGTCTTTGCGGATAAATTTCCCCTGTTAGCACGAGCAATGGGTATTTACTAGAGGTCATAATTACCCCACAGGAAGGCTGCATCGAGAGCTTTAAACAATGGTCAAACCAACCGCGCCTTTTTTATTTCAGCCCTCCTACAACAAACCGTCTTGGGTTGATTGGCTTCCTCAATTCAAAGAGCATACGGCATTCTTGCATGGGATGGGAGTAGTTCTGTGTAGCAGACAAAAAAGGCTCTACAGAGAACCATTAAAACTGCCCAGAATATCATTGGGCTCCAGCTATCAGTCCTGGACGACATTTTCGCCTTTCGCTGTTTGAGGAAGTTGCACAACATTCTCAGAGACTCTTCCCATCCTGCTTACAATCTTTGTGAACTTTGCCTTCTGGCAGAAGATACAGAACAATTAAAACTCGGACCACACGTTTTCTGAACAGTTTTTATCCCAGAGCTATTATTTCACTTAACAATGAACTTAAGGACCACCATCAGTGAGCTGTTGGACAGTTTTACTTGGTCTGTTGTGTGTTTTTAGGGGGAATTTTGGTGGATGGGGAGGTATTTGGGTATTGTCATGTGTGTGTGCATGTTGAGTCTGGTCTCTGGGTGTGATGTGAATTTTGTTGTATGTGTATACTGGGTATATACGTACAATGACAATAAAGAATTCAATTCAATAATGATAAGAAGACCATTCTAACCCCTTTCCCTGTCAATATGAGGCACATTAGAAAGAAATTGAAACTACCCTGGCACCAGCAGATTAAAAACGTTTGTCCTCCTGGTTTATTCTCCCTCGGTTATGGTTACTCTTTGCCCATCCAATGTTATTATTATTTTCCCTTTGACATCACACAAGGCTGGTCAGAAGAATCCTCCTTGAGTTAACCCAGATGTTTCTGCGTTTGCTTCACATAACCTACCATGTTGCTGGAACTGTGCCCTGCAAAAACAACGGCGGAAAAACAAGCAGTAAAAATAGCATACCTAAGTTAATTTTGAGATGTTTTTTTTCTTAGGAAATGGTAAGATGAACTAGCTCCTTTCCCCCCCAGAAAACAATCTCACTTCCTATCGCATTTTTGTTTGGCTTCTGGTTTCCAGATCTTTTCCTATATTCTGCACGGACCGGCCTCTTCAACCCAAAGATCTCTTTCCTGTTTATTACGGTTAAGATGGAATGCGGAAGGATGAGCCTCGACTTACGCCTATAATTGGGACCAGAATTCCTGTCATAAGTTGTTGCAGATCGTAAGTTGAGCCGGATGTAATTTTACGACCATGTTTATGACGGTCGTGAAGTGACTCCATAGTTGGCAAGCGAACACTTACAGTTGTAAGCGTGAACCCATTCTTCCAAACATGTGGCGTTTTCTGCCAAAAATTGCCGGGAAAGGTGCCAAATTGTGATCAATGTGTCATGGTGGCTGGTCGAAAATGCAAGCTGGTTGCCAAGTGCCGGACGTGTGACTGTCTGACCATGGGGGATAGGTTCATGGTCATAAATGCAAGGACCAATTGTAAGGAAGACTTTTTTCAGCATTGTTGTAACTTTGGACATCAAATTTGGAAATAGTTGTAAATTTAGGATCACCTACATCAGGGGTCAGCAACCTTAAGCACTCAAAGAGCCACAAAGATCCCAACAGAAGCCCACCCCCTTCATTTCTGGAGCTGACCAAAAGTCAGTTTCCCCCACCTAGCATGGCATACTTTTTCCTTTGCCAACTGGAAGTCCAATTCCCCCACCATAGAGTGTCCTTCTAGTGTGGCATCCTTTTTCCTTTTACTGACTGGCGACAGGGAGCTGCAGCAGAGGGATGAAAGAGCCACATGCGGCTCCAGAACCATGGGTTGCCGACTCCTGACCTACATAAACCTTTCTAGTTCTATGTTCTTGAAATTGCTGCTCCTTCGAAGTATGATTGAATCATTAACTGCTTTTTATGAATGCTCCAACACTGGACATTTTTAAGAAGAATTGGACAACTATTTGTCTGAAATGGTATAGGGTTTCCCTGCCTGAGCAGGGGGTTGGACTAGAAGACCTCCAAGGTCCCTTCCAACTCTCGTTGTTTTGGTGCTGAAACTTACCAAAATAGTCCTTGTAGTATTTGGGTCTTAGATTCCACCCATCTGGAGAAGGGAAAGGAAACATCAAAGCTTAAGTTTCTTCACAAATGACCATGTTGCACAGATAACAAGCATGGTGAGCATTCTTTTCTTCAAATCTCTTCAAAAAGGAAATGACAATGTTGAGTTGGGAACCACCCAGGGGATGTTAGCTGTGCTTTAAATTCTGAGAGAAGGTTTCACAGAGGCATTTCTGGTCTCTGGAAACCCAAGAAGGTTGGAGAACCGCAGCAGGAAACAGCAATGTTTTATTTTAGGTTTTTGTATCGACTCCCAAGGGCAATTCCACACCTGGATCTATCTAAATATTGGAATGTGGAGACAGGGCAAAAATGAGCTTCCTCAACTTTTTTCTACATTTTGACTCCAGTTCTTCTTCTCTTCCCACCACGTCTTCTGGGACAATTTCTAACAAACACAACCTCCCCAAGTCTGTCTTCTGCAAGACATCCTTATGAATGTGACTCTAACATATTATCTCTCAGGGCCATGACTTATGAACTCAGATGCTTCACATTCCTACTAGTAACTCACCAGAGTTCCCACGTTGCTTGATGCACTGTCCCTGATTGGGGATGCCTTCAGCAGCGTTCCCGGGGTGAATGATGTGGCATTCGAATCCCGTTGGACAATGAAGTGGGTCATCTCCATCCTCGGTGGTACTGCATGTTTCAGCTATGAAAAAAATATATATCTGAAGATCAACGAAGGTCCATCATGGCACCTTGGAAGCTATCACTGCTGTAGTTCTGCTACTGTACCTTGTAGGACTTCTTCTGGACCATCGAGGAGCCAGCCATTCCCTCCCAACCAGCGAGGTTTGGGCTGAATCAGCCAGTCTAAAACTTTTTAAAGAAAAGAGACAGAATATTTCTTATTATGAAGAAGAAGGAGACTATTTGTAATTCGGGGTTGAAATGAGGAGTCCTAGATGTTCTCTAAACTTGATTGTTTTCTTGTAGACATTTCATGACCCAAATTAACATCATCTACATCAACTAGACTAGCACTGATGATGTTAACTAGTTTGGATAAGGAAACGTCTGCAACAAAGCAACCAAGTTCGGAGAGCACCAAGGAAGAAGACGCATTTAACAAGTTGAACAGAAGAGACTATGACCATGCCATAACCATGGTTTGATAATCCATGCCATATGAACACTTTCTGTCCCTGTACATCTTTCATCCTTTTATTAGAATCCCATAATAGCATCTTGGGAATCAACCAGGTCTATCAGCTTAAATAGATGTTTCCATTGATCTTATGATCATCCTTTTGAAGGACTTAAAGGACAATTTAAAAACCACACCACCGTTTGAGACATTTGTTTTGGCATACAGCAACAGTTGCAGGGATGGGCCTACTCTGATCGCATCTCCAGCATGAGATATGACGGGGCTGGTCTACCTGGGGGTGGAGGCACTGATTCTAAGCAGGCATAGATGCATCCATTGTAGCAACAACGTTTGTGTTTCTCGCATTCAGAGTCTGACCGACAGCTGGGTACTTCACACGCTCGTTCTGGTAAGGTCTGCGATGGTGGCGGACACCGGTCATTCTTCTGGTAGTGTGCACTATGGGGATGAAGGGAGTCCTCATAATCCTGGAAGAAAGTAGATCTTTTTACTCGACCCTCCTTCAGTATTTTTCAAACACATTCTCCCATCCTTTTCTATTAACTGTACTACACACCTGTTCACCTTTGTAACTATACAGATTGTTCAGTGTTTTCATGAACCAAGGAATAGAAAGCTTGCAAGGAGACAATGCTTTTCTTCTGAAAGATTTTGAGAATTGTGTATAATATACCTAAATGGTTCCACAAGGTGGCGCTGGCTGGCAAGGACGATTCTGCAGAGTTCTCCGTTTGAGGATGGCTCCATATGGAAACTTTCCCATCTCCACTTCTTGAGCGATGAAAAAACACCAGAACGTAATCATGATTAAATCATGTTTGCCAAAGGAGGTGATGGAAGTTTATTGATTTTTATCAATATTTGCATTTGGGAACAAATAAACATTGAGCCTGATCTGCAAATTCTCACCCAACACAGGCAGAGCAAGTTGTTATATCTAAAAATAGAGCAAACGCCACACTCACTAGCACTGATGATGTTGCCTAGTTGGGTAATGAGATGTCTGCAAGCAAACCACCAAGTTCAGAGAGCACCAATCACTCACAAAAAACATACCCCGATGATGAATTTATCTGGTGCAAATCTCTTTGAAACAAATGTGTGGTCAACAAGCCCCAAAACCCTCAAGGACCCCACAGTTCTCCTCTTTCACTTCTTCCTCTTCTCCCCTGCAAACCCCGTTCCCTTGTAGCACTGATAATATTACCTAGTTGGGTAATGAAACGTCTGCAAGAAAACCACCAAGGTTATAGAGCATGACCTACGAGGAGGAGGAGGAGGAGGAGGAGGAGGAGGAGGAGGAGGAGACGACTGTGAGGTCTTTGGTGCTCTCTGAGTTTCTTTTCAGATAATATTCAGATAACTAGATAATGAAACAATTTGCATTGTTCCCAGATGCAAATACTGCTAGCACTCCCTGCTGTCACTGATGATGTTACCTAGCTGGGTCATGAAACATCAGCAAAAAGACCCCGCCAACCTCTCTTCAACTCTGAGCTACATATAATCTCTTCTATTGATAGTCAGTCAGTTCTTACTTGTTCTCCAGCCTCTTCTGTGGCAAAAGGTCATGCTAAATTAAATCCTTTCTTGTTTGCCCTCCCTCCCTGCCTTGAATGGCACCAACATCTCCAAGGTCAAGTCACTAAATGTGACTTCACAGCTTCTCCTACTTTGGCTCACATTCTCTTCTAATTAATCGGAGGCATTCTGAGTATTTTTTGCCAGTTCGGGGGATACGCAGATGACATGCCACCAGGAATAAAAATCCTTTCGAAAGGATTATGGCTAATCTTTTCAGATGAGAAAGATTATATCCTACACACCCTGGACACAATCCCAGTTTAGAAGAACAGTGTATTCCTATTAGATTGGGCCATTTCTCCAAGCGATGTGAGCAGATGTTTTTAGCCCGCACATATAGGTAACATCCAAATAGCACAACATTTTCACGCTTGCTGTGATTCGACAAGCTTCCCTTCGGGTAAATTTTCTACAACTATCAGTCTCCTGGAGTGAAACACGCTGAAGAAGATTTCAGAATTGCAAGAACATTGTCAAATGTCCTTCTTTGTCCATGCTGACCTTGTTCCATTATCTCTCCAGCTGCCCTGGACCTCTGAGATTTAATCCTTTCAGAGCCATTTTAAAATTAGGTACTGCTGTACTATTCTCATAGTAGTGGAGAAGTGACTTTCTATTAGTATATATGGAAAAGCTATCCGGGGCCCCAAGTCTCGCTTAATGACTGCAGCGATTCATTTAATGACAAAGGACAAAAGGTCATCACGGGTGTGACATTATGGTGCTTCAATTCACAATTGTATCATTTTTAACAATGAATTTTCTGGCTCCAATAAGGGGAAGACTACACATCACTTGATTAGTCTGTGAAAGTTAATCCTACAATCTGCCACTAGGGGTCTCCCTTTGCATATTTGCTAATATTGGAAAAACTAAAAGCAGGGGAAGAAAAAACCAGATTTGATCCAGACACCATCAAAAGGCACCCCTGGTCTCACTCATTCAATAGAATTTCTTTTATTTATACATACAGATATTAAAACAAACTAGATTCTCCAGCAAAATTCTCCCAAATGGTCCTGGGCTCCATTCTTCCCCTTTCCACCCCCCCCTCTTTTTAAAAAAGTTTTTTATTCTTGATCATTCTCCGGGCTGCTTGTTACAAAGAGAGGAAACGGTCTTTCAAAGAAACGGGGATAAAAAACACCTTGGCATTTTAACCTCAAACAATTCTCCAGGCCCTTTGGGACTTCCACCTGCCCCAGAGTTGGTTTCCTCCCTCGGGAAGCCAAGTCCACCCAACATTCCACAGTTCTGGGTCGGTGCCACCATGATTTTCCAGAATCAGGTTGGAGGGTCTTTGAGATTGGGTCTTGGGAAGATGTGGGAAGAACATCACAGAGACTTTTTTTTTAAAAGGAGCCAAGTTGTATCAAGTGTGGTTTGGTCACCACGCTATAAAAAAGATGTTGAGACTCTAGAAAGAGTGCAGAGAAGAGCAACCAGGATGATTAGGGGACTGGAGACTAAAACATATGATGAATGGTTGCAGGAACTGGGCTTGGCTAGTCTAGGGAAGAGAAAGACCAGGGGAGACAGGATAGCAGTCTTCCAATATTTGAGGGGCTTTCCCAGAGAGGGAGGGGGGTCAAGCTATTTTCCAAAGCACAAGACAAGGAATCATGGGTGAAAACTGATCAAGGAGAGCTTCAACCTGGAAATAAGGAGAAACTTTCTGACAGTGAGAACAATCAACCCATGGAACAGAAGTTGCTCTCGGAAGTTGTGGGAGCTTCATCACTTGAGACTTTCAAGAAGAGTTTAGACTCCCATCTGTCAGAAATGGTGTAGGGTCTCCTGCCTGGGCAGGGGGTTGGACTAGATGACCTTCAAGTTTCATTCCTTCCAACTCCGATTATCTGTATCAGAACACACAACGGGAGAATTTTGCTTGGAACCCCCCAAGAAGAGTTACTATTTTAGGCGTCACGAAACATTTGGATGTATAGATTATTGGCTACCTCTTTGCCAATATCACTAAATTGGTTTCCGAAGAAGAATTCAGTTCTATTCTGCAGTTTCAGAATCAGAATGAATGCATACTTTAGAATAAGTTTCTCTCTGATTCTCTTAGGACTTATATTTGAAGAAATATGTACTGTGTTGATACATATTTAACTTCTGCAAACATTAAAACAGTCCAGAAAGCATATATAACTAAGGTTTCAGTTATTCAAGCTATCAAAACATCTACCCATAAATATAAAGCACAATAAACACACTCTAAGCCAGCGTAAATTCAGCTATAACTCACTGTGGGCAAGTAAGGAAAAGAAATCACAATTTATCACCCTAAATTACACAACTATTACTTTTTGTTTTCAATTCAATAGGCTAAGATAATTAACAGCGCAAAGACCCCACAGTTAATTAAAAAGAGAAATGTAAAGCACCACAGCGGAGAAGTTACCTGGCTATTCCAAAGTTAGGTATAAGTATGTAAGGGGATAGAATAACCATATCAAACTGGCACCTTGTCCCTTTGTGGAAACAGAAGAAGTAAAATAAAAAGGGGGGGAAATGAACTTTAAGGGGGTCTTTGATTAGCAAATCACATCCCTTTTGGCAGAGAATAGTTCTGCAGTTGTGTGTCAAGCAACAAAATTCCACACAAGCCAGAAGCACTTAGGTTTTGTTAAACTCTCTGGGTTTTTAGGATTTAGCACAGAGAAAATGTATGATGAGCAAAGACTTGATGGGATGGAAACTGCAACGAAACCATGACAAAAATCTGGAGAGAAAACTGAAGGACCTGTGAATTTTCTTTCCTTCAAAGACCAACAAACCACCTTGAAGCCTAACTCACCCTTCATCCCATACATGTTGCTACACCTTCAGCAGAAGGTCAGACTAAGTGACCCCGGAGGATTCCTGCAATGTGCTACAGTTCTACCCTTCCCTTTTTCTTGACTGCAGCTGTTACTTACATCATAATTCTCCACCAGCTTCAGTGGTGAAGCCTTCAGCTGCCTTCTCCAGCGCCTCTTTGCACAGTTCCAGGATGGGTAGAGTAGGAACACCAGGCATAAAGTAGTTGTAAGGAACCTGGTGCAAAAATGCAGGTTGCTCCCCATTTCTACGCTCTCCTTCTGCTGTCTATCCCAAAAAAGCAAAAAAATGAAAATTGCAAACCCCGTGGAGGATGAAATTTGCTTCAGATTTTTTTTGCAGGAGAAAAGAGAAAAGCAGGGATGGAAGTTGGCTAATCCTCCGAAGTCAAATTCTGTTCTTTCCCAGACGGTTTGTCCTTAAAAGGGTTCAAATCTGGGGCCAGAAAGGATGCGGTTGCCTTGCCAGTAAGTTCCTTGCTCCAAGTTGGATCCGTTGCTCCCAATCTTGCGATTACTCCCAAGCCAGGATCTCTCCACCTCTCCCTGGCCACCCAGCTTCCCAAGGAAAGATAGATGAAAAGATTATTTTTAGACCTTTGTCTCAACATCTGGCTCTCCTAGAACGGACCCCCAGAGAAGGAGAGCAAGAGAGAGAGAGGTGGGGTGAGGGTGGGGGTGAGGTCATTCAAATTAGGAGGGGAAGAAAGGATCGGATGTCAGCCGCTGGGAGCGGAGAAAAGGAGAAAGCTGGGAAAATAATAATAAGGATGTGATAAAAAGGCTCTCCAAGGAATAGGAAGGACATATTGGAGCAAGCAACTTTTCCAGGCAAGTCCATTACAGCTGTGAAGGGCTTGTTCTTCTTCCTAATGATCTTTTCTTTCTTTCTTTCTTTCTTTCTTTCTTTCTTTCTTTCTTTCTTT